CTAAAACAAAATTACGAAGTAGACTGGACATAAACCACACACTTGAGGTGTCATTGTCTCCTATTACCCCGAGATGGGACTGTCTGATTGCAGAAAATCAAGCTCGGGGCTGTGGTGAGTCGTCATTTTCATGCACTTTGAATTTGCGTTGTATCGTATTTTGAAGGCATTAAACATTACCAGAGCGATAAGAGTTTGCGACCAGATTAGACGCTACTTGTGTTTATTATTATATTTCGAAAACACCACAGTTTTCATGCAGCTCATACCATATTATTTTGTTGTATTAATTCGCCACACCTTAAATGCCGGTCCCTGAAAATATTGTCTGACTTTAACCGGTCCGTGGGGCAAAAAAGGTTGGGGACCCCTGGCTTAAGGCATCTCCATTCACTACTCCATTGGCAAAACCCCGTACGAAGGGACTAGACTGGTCCTGGTACACCAGGGTTCTGAGGAACACGACACCAAACGGCTAAAGTGACCCACTGTTGGTCACTGATCGCCGCGTCTTTGTGTCAGTAGCTAGCGTAAGCTAGCTAAACCACAATAAAAAATAAATAAATTTAAAAAAAAGCACCGGATGGTATGGTCATCGTAGAAAGGTTACCCAAACCATTCTTGAAGTAAACAATCCAACTTTGATCAGATCCAACTGGCAAATGTTAAAAATAGCCAAACCAATGAGGAAACCAACCAAGTTTATCACCAGTTCATCAAGCGCTTCGGACCAGGGAATGCAAAATACAAGTGTGAACAGAGCCTCGGTGTCTTCCACCATCGATTGACAAATCGGGGCATCCTGTGAGCGACTTGGACATTCTCTCCGTCCCCTCAGCTGCTGGCTTGATGGATGGATTGTCTCTTGATGGACGACTACTGATAAAGCTGCGTCGCCTTTTCAGTGAAGCTGTTGAACACAACAGTCCATTCGTCTTAACTCACTGAACAATCCGGCAGCTGGAGTCTCTCAGTCTCCGGCCACTCGTCTCAGTCTGTCTCAGTCCCCCCGGCCCGAGGCACCGAGCGATGGCCGGGAGTGCGTCTTTAACACTTTGACGTCAGCACGCTGTCCTTCTAACCTCTCACTGCTCCCGTCTTCCTCACTAACCTCCTTTGGATTGTCTCTCACTTCAAATGGCATCTGTCATCAGCATGAGCCGGGAAGCAGAAGTATTTGCATTTTCCGAAATGTCCTGCTTTAGAAACTGCAAGCTGATTTGCGCTATCTCTGTCAACAAGAAAAATAGGAGCTAGAGGGTGAAATAACAGTTGATCCATTGAGCTAAGCTCTTTTCGCACAAGCTTTTTGTGCAAAGGTCAACAATGAAAACTCGAAGAAGAAAAAAAAAAGTGACCTTCTCCAAAGCCAAACAATCAAAATTTGGATCAGCGCCAAAGCGAATCTTGATAATCAAGCATCTCATGTTTACAACTGTTTTATGTTGTGATTTAGATCCCATATTTTCAACAAAATTGAACAGTTTCCTCCGTTGCCCGTGCACCATCCCTCTACAAAACTTTGGGGGGGAACAGCATAGTTTTACATGGCACAAAGTCAACATTTACCGAGGTGTAGTTGGAACTTTTGCCATATGTTGAGTGAAAAATCCACAATTGCTCAAAAAGAATGTTTCCTACATCGCTCATGCTCTATCTCTCCACAAAGAAAATATCTTCGCAGGGCAAACAATTACTGAAGTGAGTTTGTGAGAGGGACTCCAAATTTCGCTCACTTTGCTTCCTCTGCTATTTGAACAGTATCTTATATATTTATATATTACTGCTTTTACACCTTTCTGTGGACTGAACAGCAATAATAGACATTTTTGTATTTGATGAACGATTGTTTGAAAATTCATACAAGTTTGTGCAGGCAGCTCAGCGTCTGGAGCAAATTCTGACTTTCTGTAATGTGGAGTAAATAAATAAAAATGGCTTCACGACAAAAATTTAAAAGCAATGAGAATCACAAAGATGAAGCAGCAAAGTTCGTGAAAACACAAAATTTGACTCACTGCCAAAAATGTGTAACCTCCACGTAAATGTAAGTATGAAGTTTTTGTTTTTTTTTAATCATGCTTTAATTCTTATTGTGGAAAATCTGCTTCCTCATGCTGAGGTCTGCGGTCAATTTTAAACGTCTTCTTATGCCGTCTTACCTGGTGACGGCTGAAAAAACAAATTCTTCAACCTGCTTGAGATGAACGCTGCACATTTTTTCCTCACTTCTAACTTTTGTCAGGCAACGCATCAGTGTGTGCGTATTGGACTTTTGCGTACCTGGCGGCTGGGTGGCATGGTTGGCGGTGAACTGCATGGGGATGCACAAGTCGTTGTCAATGGGGAACTTATCGCACGTCAGCATCTCCGGCCAGGGGAATCCGTAGGTCTCCATGACGGGTGCGCAGCTGTCCCTAACGGCCTCGCACAGCGATCGGCACGGGTAGATGGGCCGGTCCAGGCACACGGGGGCAAACAGCGAGCACAGGAAGACCTGGGTGTCGGCGTGGCAGCGCTTGGCCAGCAGTGGCACCCAGCTGCCCGCCTGCTGCTTCACCTCAGGCATGGTCTCGTGGTCCAGCAGGTTGGGCAGCCTCATCTTCTTGTAGCCCACGTTGTGGCACAGCCGCAGGTCGGCCGGGATGTCCACGCACTGGGGCTGTTTGGTGTAGAAGCGGCCGTTGTGGAAGTTGTCCGACTGCCAGCTGTAGTAGTCGTACTCGTCTGCGGCCGACACGCCGAGGAGGAGGTGGAGGAGCGAAAGGAGCCACAGGCCCAGTGGCATGTGGAAGGAGCGCTGGGTTAATGCCCACCTGGAGCTCTTTTGTCCCTCTGCCATACCTTTTTTTTTTTTCTGAGCTCAGATCAACAACTCAGGAAGATTGTATCCAAGATGTCCAAAAAGTATATCAAGTGCACCCGTTGTAATCCAAAAAGTTTTTAATTCCTGCTCCGCTGCTGGAGAGTCAGCCTTACAAGCACACAGATGCACTTCTCGGTCAGTGTGTGCATGCGCCTGTAGCAGTGTGTGTGTGTTTGTGTCTGTGTGTGTGCGTCTGTGCGTGTGTATGTGTGTGTATGCACAGCCTCAAGTGACAAGTCAAGGAAGGGTGAGCACACACAGCTTACTTGATAAGTTCTCCTGTGAAACTGTCACCCTGCTCTCTGCTCTCTCAGTATCACTCTGTGCTTCTAACGAGGAGTCCCAAGGCTTTAAGGTCCTCAGGCAGCCTGCCCCTACCCCAAGCATCATTGCAGTTCATCCACCTCCTCACTGGCCTCCCCAGGACTCACTCACACCCAGCCGAGCCAATGGCAACACAGGAGGAGGTTCCCACTGGCGTTCGGAACGGCCCTCCTGACCCTGATCCTCCAGCTAACCCCTCCTCTGAAACAAGAGTGAGAACAAACCCTCCACAAGATATCCCCATTTGGATTTCTTGTTTTGAAACACGGTCCTCCAATAAGGGCACTCATTACACACACTTTCACCCACTTAGTCGGAGGAGGCCTGTCATGCATCTGCACCATTCCTGCTGTCATACGACGTCTTTGTCAGAGGCTTGCGCAATGTAGCACGTCCCTGCGCACATAACAAATCTGCTCACTTCATTAGCGCTCAAGAGTCTGGCAATGAAAGGCCTCTCGTATGCGCACACGCGCACTCGCACAGACGCACACACTAACGAAGCTAAATGCACTAGCATTTCATATGCAAATGAAAACATAGCCGTTTTTGGCAAGCGCCAAGATGTTCCAGCACTCAGTTGTCAGAATTTGAATGTTTTTTGGCATGTGTCTTCGGTATAATTTCACTCTGTACTCTCTTATCTGCCATTTATTTCACCTTCCACTTTACTAGCAATATCCTCTCCTTTGACTTTTGCCAGGTTTATGAATGCTGACAGGACTAGTGTCAAACTCAAGGCCCGGGGGCCAGATCTGGCCCACAAAAGCAAATTATGTGTGTCGACTTGATTCTTAATAAAATACCAAAATTGTAAATAGTCTTGACTTTTAAAACCTTTGAGACATTGCAAGCTTTTTTGTGTTACCAACAGATGCAGTAAAATTTGAACAAACAGCTTTTACTAGCCTCTTATGGCAAAACTGGTTATTCATCAATTTGGGGCGGGGGGCTTGGAACATATCACCTGCAGAAAATACACGGTATATATATATATATCAGTCATACCTTGGTTTTCGACCATAATCCGTTCCAGAATCTGTTCAAAAAGCAATTTGTTCGAAATCCGAACAAATCGACAATCATCCGTAATGACCACAAAATCATGGCAGAGTCCCAGAAGATGATCGTAAATCGGGGTGCGGCACATCCTGTACCGGAGAAGGCACTTTGAATATGCTGACTGAATGTTTTCTTCACACTGTAGACACGTATTTATAATTGACGTGTTTATACTGTGTCACATCTTCATGTTTTTACATCTATAGATGTTCTTACCATATTATACATCGAAATTGGCGGCCATTTTATTGGAAATAGTTTCAATGAACTATCATTATAACGTGCAGTTTCGTTCTGTCCCTCGAGGTACGTTGTCACGAGGTTCGGCTGGATATAATTCATCCTGGTTGCTGTCATCGTGATTTGTTTTTTCTTCTGCCTTCCGTTTGGCTCAAGTGACATTGCCGGCATGTTTTTTTTTTCTGCTTTCTATTGCCACCTGTTGCTTTGGAATGCATTTGACATCATGTGTATGCTTTTCACGTGGACAGAGTTGGTGAGGAAGAATACTTGTGTGAGGGAAATGCTTGCGGACTCTCACAAGGGATTCGTTTACGGTATGGCTCCAGGTGACCTGCAACCTTATATAGAACATGGGCCAGGATGAGATCCGCCACCTCTCGTTCACTCTCTTGCGCCTTCTTGTCTGTCATCATCACAAGGCTTTCACCTGGGTGGAAAATCGATGGGAAAGGTCACTGTGAATCATAGGTCCACTGTCTTGCAAATGCATCTTTATGTGGTGAATGATGAAGAAGGCCCATTGTGAATTTGCCATTTGGGTCATGCTACTGCTGCAACTGAAATGAAATGATTCTGTTGTAATGTGCCAGAATCAATAAAAAAGACCAAGAGGAAGCTCTGTGGGCTAACAGTTGGAGTTTGGATGCGATGAACTGATGTGAGCACAAGATCGGGTGTTCATGTTGTTCTTTGCTTGTTGTGCAGGAGCTCAAGTGACTCCAAAAGAAAACAGACTGTCCCTTGAATTTAATAAACTGCAGTGCAACACACCAAAACGTGAGAGTGCCGTTCCAGCCGTATATCTTCTCATATCTTCAACATATTTACCTCAAAATTGTGGCCATCCCTTGAATACACAACAAGCACCCAGTTAAGCAACATATTTCATTCAAGGCAAATAAACACCTCCCTTTTTCCCAAAACTGCAATGACCTCTGTTGATGGACACTATTCTTGACACTTTAACGTTTGAAACTTGTACTACGTGGTCACTCCACACACAATGTTGTGTGCATCAATGTTTATGTTCCATCCAGTCTGCCTCATTTTGTCAGTACTTCTCAATTTGTAACGGTGTTTGTTTAATATCATTCCAAACATGTGCTCTTTAAAAGCCTCCCCTGTCTGCAGTTGAGTAAATAAACCCTACTCTTCTATTTGCAGAAGTACGGCATTCCAGAAGTGATCATTTGCATGTATTTTTCTTGAACAAACTCCTCCTGCCATGTCAGGTCCCTTTTGTTGAATTTATTGGAGTGTTCTGACTCCCCCCCACCCCCTTCCTGTCCCCCTGTTGGGAATCGAACCTGCTGCGCCGTGGCAAGACGATACGGTGAAGTCACCCCCCGAGCATGTCGTCACTCTTCATGAAAGCATCGCTCGTAGCATATAAAGGTTTGCATGAGATAAATTAAGCCAAATTACACATGAACCCCCCCCCACCCTATACCGTCCCACCCACCCTTTTTCCTCCATCTTCATGTTCCCGCAAGTTGGTTTTCAGAATGCTCTGTTAACCTTTGAACCACAACTAATCAATACTACTCACGGCTAATAATCTGTGGACCTTAGTGTCCCGTCCCGTGAGGTGGTGGGATTGTCTCGTCACACGCCTCACTCCATCTTTTTTTTTTTTTTTTTGTATGGGTGGTGACCCATTTTAAGGCTGCTCAAGCATTTCCTCTTTATACGGGCACAGTGCAGAACTAACAAAAGTTTCTTTCATGGTAATCAATCAACAATGGCTGTCTCGGCCAATCACTTCCACTCTTCACTTTCTTGCCCTCGGATTGGATGAGGGCTTTAAGATGAGGTCCAGTCTGTATTGTTGAGCCGAGAGGTTTAGCATGCTTTCAAAGGAGGGACTCTGCAATTGTTGGTGTGTGTGTGTGTGTGTGTGTGTGTGTGTGTGTGAGTGATTCAGTTTGTCCTCCTCACCCCCCTTCGCAAAAAGAATGCAAACCACACAAGAAGATGTCGGGATTAATGCCTTTTTATTCAGACACACACCTTTATTTATTTAAGTGTGCTTAGCTTTTGGTTTGTTTACACATCCCAAAAATGTGAATGTGCAACGATAAAAAGAAGTTGATGGAAGTGTGAGTGTAATAAAACAACAATAAAGTAAAGCTACTTATCTTTTGAGGTCACCGGGTCATTTCCATGCTAGTGATTAGCCCTTGTGCTTTCAGCAATATGTTATTTATGTTAGCCTCAGCTTGGCAAAATGAATCTGTCTATGCAATTGATATTTGATGAACGGATGCATGATTCAAGTATTCAAATGGATTTGGATGTCACTTCGCTCATATCGTACTGAGCATCCAGGCCCTATGTCCAAGGAACTTTCCAATTCTTGACTCTTGGCTCGTTTCATGAGCGTCACACACGCATGCCCGTTGAAACGTGATGAAATGCTGTCGGAGGACTTTAACACCACACAGTCAGAAAGCGCAGAGGCCATTGATGCCTGTCACAGCGTGCCGCGCCGTGGAGATGTGCTAGCAACTGTTTGCTTTCACTCTGTGAGGATTTGTCACCCGTTTGCCCCTTTTTTTCTCTCACAGACATCAGAGGTCACACTCATTTACAATTCCAGCACCCCGTTTCTTCTCCTTCTGCGCTCATCATAACAGGCCTTCCAAATGGCTTCAGCTCGCCTTTTCTAAAAGGTCTTTGAACACATCACCGTCATGGAAGCCAATGCACAGAGACAGAGAGGAGAAAGGCGGCAGCAAATTGGGAGTTGTGTGTGTGCGTGTGTGTGTGCGTGTGTGTGTGTGTGTGTGTGTGTGTGTGTGTAGGGGGGGGGGCTTCCAGTAAAATCTTGTGAGCAATGGGAGACTTCCTCAAACACGATGCATCCAAACACACACACACACACACACACACACACACACACACACACACACACACACACATACACACACACTCTCTTAGAAACCGAAGCTACAGCAGCACACCTCCAGTGGAATGTCGCAAATGATGGTTGTCGTCAGCATTTTTGGCTGAAATGTGCTACCGCTGTGCTAGAATTCACACACTTGGTGCTTGTGTGTAAATGCACAGATACATTTGGCTATCACTTTACAACACAGGAAAATGGGGTTCCTCGACGTTCTATGGTAGGGAGTTAATTTCCTAAATTTCATGAACTGTTTATTTTGTTTGTTTATTTGTTTTGTTTTAAAACTGCTTCAACACCACTATTACATCTTTTGGCTGCTACCTAAGTGAGAGGAGGGAGCTTTGAAAATCGCTATTCCATCGATACATCCGTCCATCCTTTTTCTACAACGGTTAAACCAAGCTAACCTAACCTCACCCAGTTAACATAAGAAACCCACTTTTGGTACCTCCAGAAATTATCACATCAGTACAAGGGTAAATGAATAGATAAAGCTCTGGAAATTATTATCACTTTTTTTTTTTTACCTCTTTGTTTTGACCTCTCTTCTTAGGGGCGGAGCTACAGGTTGGCCAGGGGTGGCCAAGGCCACCCCTTGTCAATCTATGGCCACTTCTCTGTCCATGCTCCACATTTAGGAGAGAATCTTGATATCCATAATTTTTAAAGAGAGTTTGTGGGCACCCCGTGCAATGAAAAGGGAAATGTCGATTTTTATTTGGTTCGTGTCTTTAAATTGAGTATAATCCTCAATCGACCCCATTCCATTTTTCTATTGATATTGGTCAATTGAAGCCAAGGGTGAATGACTTGCGTGGGATGATG